TTTGTCAGATGTGTTAGCTAAGCAAGGGGTAAATAGGGAAGAATTGTTTTGGGCTCAGTTGTGATTCTTGCTTTTCTTTCCTAGTTTACTTGTAAGATTCAAGGAGGGGTTGCAGCTCGCGCATCTCCCTGGGATGTTGTATGAACTCACTCTAAATCTGCTTCTGAATTAATAAATTTATTATCATTCATCAAAAAAAGAGGGTTTTGTGTTACCTAAAAGGAACTCCAGGGAAAGGTATCTTATTTGCTAAGCATGGACACATGACGCTTGAAGCATACACTAATGCTGATTGGGCTGGATGTATTGATGATAGGAGGTCCACTTTAGGTTACTGTGCTATGGTGGCAGGGAACATTGTATCATTGAGGAGTAAGAAGTAGTCTGTAGTGACTAGATCATCGGTTGAAGCAAAGTACATGGCAATGGCACATGGAGATTCGGAACTTTTGTGGTTGAGATCACTTTTAGAAGAATTGGGTATAGATTGTGAGAGGCCAATGATGTTATATTGTAACAAGTAGGCCACTATCAACATTGCACATAATTCTGTTCAGCATGACATAACTAAACACATAGAAGTTGATAGGCACTTTATATAGGAGAGAGTTGCTTCAGGAGAAGTCTATTTGCCATTTATTGCTTCTGAAAAACAGTTGGCTGATGTTTTGACAAAAGGTGTTTCTAAAGGAAAACTAGTTCACTATATAAGCATGTTGGGCATGATTGATATCTATGTTCAGCTTGAGGGGGAGTATAGAGAGACTGGGCTGAATGGGCCGTAGCCCATTTCAATCTTATTGATTAGTTCCTGTTATTTGTTCTTAATGGGCCTTTAATTCTCTTTATGTTTAGTATGTTGATGAGGTGGACGCCCACTTAAGGGCAGACTTGTAATTTATGTAATCTTAGTAGGATTAATAAAATATTAGAGGGGGGAGAAAGAGGAGATTATCGAACTCCTTTCTCCCTTCTTCTTCATTCTCCCTTTTTCTTCTACATTCTCTCTATAATCTGAAATATTTTTACTATTTTTTATTGGTCTGGATCACATCTCAGCCCAATAGGGATGTTGAATTAATGTCTTTAATGTAGAGTTTATGAGCTGTCAAAGGCTATAGCAATTATTTATAGAGTTACAATGAAGATAGAGAGAGAAAGGTAAGAAAGAATCTGGAATTATCCAATGGGCTGTGTAGAATCATTCTAGGATGTGAGATACCTAAGAAGGGAAATAAATCACATATCTTGGATTTGGTGACTTTACCATACAATTTAATTGTGGTTAAGAGGGGAAGACAATTAAGATTTAGGATTTTGATAAGGAAGATGATTAAGATTTAGTTTGGAAGACCCACCAACCTTTGATATAGGATTTAGTTAGAACAATTTTTTTAATATTTTTAATAGCCTTCTTTTAGGATTCAAGAAATCCCCATGTTTATTGGTATAGAAAAAGGAAGAGGGTTTTACATGCCCTTCACATTCTTAAGTAAGGAAGATGGCTGCTATTTTTAATAAGCTACTCTTTAGTTTTCTTTCCTTAGCAAATGAGGATGATTAAAGATCTAATAACGTTTCTTATTACTAGGAGTAATCATGAGGTGGACTGGGTCAGGCTTAGCACCTATGCTAAGGGCTCTAGCCTGGGCCTGGGCCCATCTTGCACACTGGGCTAGGTTCTGGGCCTATATGACTTGCGTTTTATTAAATATACATAAACTAATATATGCATAGAATAAATGCTATGCTTTATCTAATATACAATATTCTAAATAATGTGTTATATATATATATATATTATATGTATTATATGTATTGTGGGCCTGGGCCTGGACACAAAGCCTAGTCGCAAGCCTGGAAATTTCCAGTCTGGGCCTGGTCAAGCTAGAAATGATCACCCCTACTTATTGCATGAAAAGTACGTCATAAATGGTAATTTGGCTTAATCTAAAGCCTAAAGATGGAGATATCCCTACTCATATGTCTCAATGCTACACTAGAAACCCTACTGTTGTTTGGTGGCTGAATGAATAGCTCAACTGAGTAAATGTCAACCATAAACCTGGATTGAAGCCTGCAATAAGTTATGAGTTTGAAGATCCAAAGTTGGAGTCAATCAGGCCTTCCTTGTGAGCTTCTCTTTCTCTTTCTTGTTTTTCCTTTTTTCTTAGTAAATGGCCGTTTCTCCATTGTTTGAACTGTACAACCGATTCCCAGGCTGATTCCTACTAAATAGTCACTTAATGTGCATCTGTTTTTTTTTTTTTTGGATCTTAGCACAGATTGATCAGTTCCTCCAGCATGTTTTTCCCTTTCTTTCTTTTACCTTTTTCTTCTTTTTGGATAAATGGATGCTTTGCCTATTGCTTGAACAGATTGACCAATTCCTAGGTTGATTTCTGATAAATGGTCACTTCATATACATTGGTTTGTTTCTATTTTTCTTGTTCTTTTTTGTGATTTGGGTCATTTAGGTTGTGGTGATCTGGATAGTCATTGTTGTTAGGGATCTTTTCTTGTTGTGTTTCTTTCCTATTATTTTTTGTGAGAACTATATTGATTGTATTTTCTTATTTCTTATACTCATCTATTTTTGATCCTTTTGATTTTTGATTATGATTTCACATGTTTGTGTAGAGGGGCCATTACTTGGTGTAATGGTGAAATCTTGGTCTGGCATGTGTGAGAACTTGGGTTCTAGTCTGAGACGAACACTTTGTGCGAAAAAAATGCCAAAGGTTAGGACCATACCCAATATACCCCTCCCAAGACCCCAGATGGCTGGGACCAACATGGAAACATTGGGTGATGATCTTTTTTACATGTGTTTGTGTAGATCCATGTTTCATTTTCCCATTTTTAGCAACTTCATCTTAAATCCAGAGAAGCTAATGAAATTTGAATATTACAGTTGCTTTGTCAAATTGATTTTTTTTGAAAAGGTAACTTTCATTCAAAAAGAAGGGAAGGATGACCTGTTGGATACTGGCTTGATTACAAATCTAGGATTCAAGTAGTTCAAATCTGATCCAAGTCCCATTTGATTCCAAAAGATCCATTTGCAGCCCTACTTGATTGCTGCCATGTATTTTAGTTACTATATTGTTCTCTTTCTTTATTGTAGGATTTAATTACTATGGTGGTATTCTTTTTAACTAATAGCTTTAGTGAATTGTTAGGTTTGGGAAAACATGTAATGGATTTAGATGGTTCTCAATCGGTTATAATGATTTTTGAGGATCTAGTGACCAGGATTTATAGGACTTCTAATTCTCTTCTGAGCAGTGTTTTAAAAATTGGCTTGGAGTTCAAACTGTTTTCTCCTCTGGGTGTCACTTTGATGGTTCAACCATCTAGGTTGAACGGTTAGACGATAAAGACTTTAGAAGCTTTCAAAATTATAGGACATAATTGAACTGTCACCTGGTGATTGGTTTGAACAATTTAGTTGTTTAATCACCCTGGTTGATTGTCCTTGACCAAGTCAATCTGTCAATGTTTTTTTCCCCTGGAATTTTAGGGGTTTAAGCTTGATTAAACCAAACTGATTTTCTTTTCGGGTGATGGGTTGAATGGTTCAACTGTCCAGGTCAACAATGAGTTATAAGCACTCTTTCTGAGTAATGGTTCAAAGGTCAGACCATCTAGTCCAGGCAAGGTTTCATTACATTGTTTGAATTCAACCCTACACTTGCTATGTAGTAACTTTCCCTCTTTGATACGAATTCCCCTTGCATGAATGCAGAGCAACAATATTGATTGGCTAAAAAATGATGTGAATTTCATATTACCTGTCTTTCAAAAAATTTTTACTCTACCTGCTGTCATGTCATGACTCCTACCTATTAAATGAGTAAATGAATGTCAGAAAGTGTCCTTTTTCATGTGTCAATGCCAACTGTAGCACTATTTTTAGCAGGTGAAAAATGGTTTTCTAAGAAGAATTCATTGAGGTTTGAGTCTCTTATTAGAAGGAAATATAAGCCTCCCTTGTATCACCATTGCAACTTACCTATGAATATATGTGTTGGTATCAGAAAGAAGGCCTAAATTAACCGATAATTATATATTTTTTAGCTGTAGAAGGAATAAATATTAACATTATCTCTTGATATAAAGGAGTATACTAGTTATAAATGCTATCTATAYGAATTTAAGTTTGTATTAGGGACCATWTWAGTGTCAAATGAAAATTGGATCGCGTTTCTTGCACGGTATTTTTAACCGATAATTATATATTTTTTAGCTGTAGAAGGAATAAATATTAACATTATCTCTTGATATAAAGGAGTATACTAGTTATAAATGCTATCTATACGAATTTAAGTTTGTATTAGGGACCATATTAGTGTCAAATGAAAATTGGATCGCGTTTCTTGCATGGTATTTTTCATAGGATGGACTTGCCTTGTTTTGCCTACCCAAAAAACAGATGCCTTGTTTCATATTTTCTTTTCTCCCTTGTGCAGATCATTAAAGAGAGGAGATGGAAGGATGTAACTGCTGTATTCAATTTTCCCTCTACAGCTACAAATGCGTCTTTTGTCTTGCGCAAGTACTATGTTTCCTTGCTTCATCACTATGAACAAATCTACTTCTTTCGTGCCAAAGGTTGGACCTCTCCTGTTGGTGAGTTCATAAAATAACAAACTTTTGTGAGTGTAATAGATTATGTTTACTTGACAAGAATTGAAACTAAAAGAAGTTTTAGATTAACCTTGCAACTATAACAAGGATACATTTTGCAGCGTCTGTGCATATTTCATCTCCCTCACAAGTTTCAGCTCAAGGATCATTTGAACCAGTAATGGCATCATCAGAAGCACAAGCAGCAGAAACTCACAAGCGGCGGAGAAGTAGGTTTCTCTCTCTCTCTCTTGTATTGTTTCCCGCAAAAATAAAAAAAAAGGAGGGGGGGGCTATGTTTTGGACATTGGGAATGGTAACTTTTTTTGAAAAAAATACTGTAATACTCTTCCTTTGGACGATCCTATTCAGCATCTTCGTCATTTAATTTGGATCCCTTCAATTTTTCATATACAACTCCTAGTCCTGCTTAATCACTACACATCTGAACTAGACAGGTGAAAATAAGTTTGGTTGTTGGTTAATTTTATTCCCTTTTGAGAGTGCAGCTGAGTGGCATCATTTTTCTTAAAAAATACTAGTCGTTAAGTTGGTTCTCTAGATTTCAACATTTGTTTTACATTTATGGAATATTTTCTTACTAATTTGAAGGTTTTATTTAATTTATTATTGTGTTTCCAGCAACTCCGTCATCAGCAGTGGGTTGTCCGGTGGTTGGAGTCATTGATGGGAAATTTGAACATGGCTATCTTGTCACAGTTACAGTTGGCACAGAGAAATTACGAGGTGTTCTTTACCATACTACAGACCCCCAAGATGGCCAAATGCCACGCTATGCCAACTTTTTTGATAACTGTATTGGTAAAGATACTGCAGCACCACGCCGGCGACGGCGTCGGAAGAAATCTGAGATGAGAAAGCGAGATCCAGCGCACCCAAAGCCTAACAGAAGTGGTTACAATTTCTTCTTTGCTGAGCAGCATGCAAGACTGAAACCACTTCACCCTGGAAAGGATAGAGAGATCAGTAAAATGATTGGTGATCTATGGAGCAAACTGACAGAGACAGAGAAAGCTGTAAGAGAAACACCACAGCTTATTTGCTATGAATTTCTTTATGCATTAATATGGAATTTCACACTTTTATTTTAGGAATTACACATCGTTGAACCAAATCCTACTCTTTTCTTTGTTCCATTTGTGGGAGTCAGGTTTATCAGGAGAGAGGTGTTAAGGATAAAGAAAGGTACAGAAGCGAGATGGAAGAATACAGGGAAAGACTGAGGACAGGCCAAATTATTGGTAATGCGGTTCCAATCCAGCAAAGAGGTGCTGTGCCAGAGGTAACAATGGAGGAAGGAGACCTGAAAACAGGAGAGGAAGTTGACTCCCCTCATATTGTTGAGGGTGATAGCAATTCTGGTGAAACAGGTTCGGAGGACGGAAATTCTGCGGACAAAGAAATGGAAATAGAGGCATCTTCAGGAGCTGTTAATGGCACTGAATCTTCTAATGCAGCCCCAGGGATTTTAGCTGAGGAAGATTGTTTTGAGCTGCAGGGTGATGAGAGGGATGGAGATGCAGATCAGGTACATAAGGATGGAAATGAGAATCAAGTGCAGAATGATCAGAAAGATGGTCATGAGAATCAGACACAGAAGGATGGAAACGAGAATCTGGTACAGAAGGATGCATATGAGAATCAAATTCAGAACAAAGATAACGATGGAGATGAGAATCAGGTGCAGGATGGAAACGAGAATCAAACTCAGAATGATCACAAGGATGGAGATGAGACTCAGGTACAGGATGGAAACGAGAATGAAGTTCAGAGTGATCACAAGGATGGAGATGAGAATCAGGTGCAGGATGGAAAGAATCAAGTTCAGAGTGATCACAAGGATGAAGATGAGAGTCAGGTGCAGGATGGAAAGAATCAAGTTCAGAATGATTACAAGGATGGAGATGAGAGTCAGGTACAGAAGGATGGAAATGAGAATCAGGTTCAGAACGATCAGAAGGATGGAGATGATAATCAGGTAGAGAAGGATGGAAATGCGGATCAGCTTCAGGAGATGGATCAGAAGGATAGAGACGAGAATCAGGTAGACGAGGATGCAAACGAGAATCAGATGCAAGGTAATGTTCAGAATGAAGTTCAGAAGGAACTGAAAGATGGAGAAGAAAATCAGGTTCAAGATTCAAGCTTGGGTATGTCTGTGTCGGTACAGGAGGAAATGGTAATTACTGAGGAGCATCAGTACTAGAACTAGAAGAGAATTCTTTCCTTTTCAGGCAGACTTGGTGGTTAACATGATAATTCTTTCTTTGCTGGGTCTTTTAATATGTTTTTTTTAATGAAAATTTCCCCTTTATTTTGTAAAGTTGAACTGCTATAGTTACAAATGGCGTTTACTGTTTTTTTGAGGAAAGAGCTCATTGTTTTGGCAGATTTTTAGACAATATCTTAGTTGAATAGGTTTTGATGCATCAGTTAGGGTTTTGTACATGCTTGATTCTGTGTCTTCTGCCCAGGGTTAAAAGTGTTGGAGAGGTGATTTCAAGAGACTCATCGGAATTTGCTTATACACATGGATACACTAGAAATTGAAACTTGTATAAATCTTAAAAATATCAGTAAAACGAAATTCAAGGCTTGATAGACTACAAAAGAGGTATGAAAACATAACATATAACATACATTTTAATGGTTTATTTATGTGAGATATGAATAGTACACTTCAGTAAACAGTTAGAAATGGAAAATGAATTAAAATATGCACTGGTGAGATGCTCATCTTTCATATTGAAGTGGGTGTAATTTGAAATTTAAAATTTTATACAAGTTTTTATACTAAAATTTTAAATCTAAATTTAATTATAGGATTTGAGGGGGGGGGATTAATTTGAATTCAAATGAGTAATTGAGGGATTTGTGGAATTAATAATTAATTAATAGAGAAATATGGCAACATTAATTATAGTAATGAGTTGATTACCAAAGAAAATTATACTAAGGAGTAAGGAGTTCATTTGAATTCAGATTTCAAATAAATGGAGATATTTAAAGGAATTAATATGGAGTTTGCACTGGATTTAGGGGGCCATAAATTAACATAATTGGAGAGTCGATAGCTGGATTGATAACAAAATTGGGGGATATTTTACAAGGTGAATGTTTTTGTTTTCATTTTTTTTTTATTTTTACTTTTTAAAATTGCTATACCAATAAGGCAATAAAGAAAAATTAAAATATATTGTTGAATTGTATTTTTGTTTTGAGAAGTAAAAAACAAGTTGGTTTTGTTTCAATAAACAATTCATGTTTTTGAAACCATCAAGACAAAAGTTGGAAAACAATATTGTATGGGATATATAGTATTGTTAAAAAACATGCTTTTCAAACCAGTAATTTAAGAAAATGTTTTTGGTTTCAGTTTTAGAAACAAAAAAAAAACACAAACCAAACCAAGAACATGTTTTCCATGTCATTGTTTTAAGAAAAATTTGTTTTCAAATCATATAGTTCTAATTTGTTTCTGGAACTTACAACAAGAAAACAATTCAGGTTTGATTTATGAGTTGAGCCAATTTATATCTAGCTCCAATATATATTCGGATGATTTAAATATTTTGTACTCAGGGGGTGTTTGTTTTTTGGATTTTGAGGGGGGGGAGTTGGTCAACCAAGAAATCTATGTTCTTTTTCAGATTTGTGTGGGGATCAGAGAAAATTTATTTTTCTGGGTAAGTGGGTAACTGATACCCATCTCTCATGTTCTTTTATTTCACAGGAAACACTTACTCGGGTAAGTGTATTTACCTGGATAAATAACTTACCGAAAAACAAATGGGGCCTTCGAATTTTAACCCACGAGGCTGTTGGGTTTCGTCCAGAACTTCTAGCTTATAAGGATTGAAACTAGTGTTCTTAAGTCTTCTGTGGTACGATCCTTAGCAAGAGCAAGCAATTTTCCTTTGATTTCCAGGTTTGAGCAGTCAAATGAACACATCAAGCATTTTTGCTCATGACCTATGTGTGCATGGAACATGGTTTTCAAAACTAGACTGGATCGAATGGTTGGCCCAGAAAAACTGGGAACCAGTCAGGTGACCGGTTTTGGTTTTTCCCAAAACTGGAATTTTTTCAAAAACCGTTGATTTTGGTCAGCAAACCACTAACCTGGGTGGTTAACCGTTCGAACCATTTTGACCGTTTTTAATTTTTTTTATATTTTTTTGTTAAAATAGACTGACCGTTCTATCCGGTAATCGGACCCCTGACCGTTTCGGTCTCCGGGTCGGTTTTAAAAAACATGGCATGGAACGCGCAACATCATGGAAGACGTTCATATTGCACCTTCAATCCAAGTTCTCTCTAGCTCTCTCTTTTCTTGGTTTGAGAAGTAAAGGGCTAATTGGTCTAGTTGTTTGTGTTGGCGTATTTAGTTACCTTCTACATGGCCCAAATGATGAAGGGCCATTAGTTGGTGTAATGATAAAATCTTGAATCAAAGTGTGAGAATATGAGTTTGAGTCCAAGAGTGGTCCTAATAAAGCCGGAAAGGTCACTGGATCAGTGTGTTAGCTTTTAATATTAGGCTGTATTTGATTTTCTTAAAATCTTTCCCTCAACTTTCTGTTCTGTTTGTCTCTTATTTTTCATCAGTCCAAACAATACCTTAATGTCAATTTATCAGAGGTCGCAGAGATACCCTGATGTCAATCGGCCATGTCTAGACTTGCTTCATGTGTTTGGGGCGTGTTAGGTCAGGATAGGATAAATATGTTATAATAGACTACTTACTAACATGGTTTTTAAAACCGGACTGGACTGGACAGTTAGACTGGAGAAATCGGGATTGGTTTCGTTTTACTCAAAACCGTTGATTTGGGTAGTGAATCGCTGACCCGAGCGGTTGAACTGTCAATCTGGACAATGTTTTTTGGCTGTTTTTGTTTTTGTTTTTTTTTTTTTAATTTTTAATTATTTTTTATTTTTTCTATCAGAGCAAGCCATTCATTCGGACTGGATGGTCAGATCGTTCAACCCGGGAAATGGACCCCAAAATGGTTCCCTGTCCGGTTCAATTTTAAAAACCTTGCTTACTAATATTTAGTGCTTTCACATTTAGACCGGAAGTCTAACCACCGGAATCTGACATTTGCAGCCAAGCAGTTTTCAGGTTTCCTGGTTCTTAGAAATATTGATTTGGTTAAATCGATTTAAAATACATGTATTGAAATCTCTCCTATTTAGGGTTTATTTTAATATAAACTAGTTTCAAAAGTTGATATGAAATTGTTTGTTTTTAATTTTGGCAAAACCTATGATGCTTTTACTGCTCCATGCAACAAAAGATCTGATTGATTGAATGTGATGGTAAATATATTTATATTATATATAAATGTGTGGATGCAGTGGAAGATATTTTGGATTAAAATTACCTCTATTTTTTTTTGTTTGTTTGATAAAGGGCATAAAAGTTATTTTATTGCAACTTTAATGCCTACTTTAATGGCTACTAAAATGCCCATAATTTTCTATTTATTCAATGGTTTTTAAAACTGAGTCGGTGACCGAACCGGTTAGGGGTCTAGTTACCGGGTTGAATGGTTCGACCGTTTGAACCAAATGCTTGGCCCATTCTGACAAAAAAATAAAAAAAATAAAAAATGGTCAAAATCGTTCAAACGGTTAACTGCCCGGTTCAGCAGTTCGTTGACCAAAATCAACGGTTTTGGGGGGAAATCCGTTTTATGGGGAAAATGGTTCTTGGTTTTTCCCAATCCAGTCCGGTTTTGAAAACTATGATTTATTCCATCTCTAATTGTAAGGGTTTAAAATGTAACTTCAATTATTACTTTTCATCTCATTTAATCCCCTTTCATTAAGTCTTGTACTTAATTAAAGATATTAACTCTCATTTTCTCTTACTAAATCCTATATTCGAGTTATTTTTCACTAATAAGTGCTACATGTTAGATCTATGTCAATATTTTTAACAATATTTCATATATTTCAAAATTAACTCAAAAACAAAACCATTCTTTATCCAAGTGGTGGCTAAGCAATTCAACCATCCGGATCAAATTGATCAATCTATGAATTCAAAGTTAGGTAATAAAAATTTTAAAATAGAAATAAATATAAAAAAAATTACAAAAAATGTAGATAAAAATTTACACATTTATGATATTTTTATTAATCAAATTAAAAAAATAAGTGTAATAAACAATAATTATTTTATTGATAATGAAAATGAAATACATAATTTAGAAATGACAAAAAAATGAAATTATTTTACTTTTTGGCAAAAATGAATATAGTTCAACTTTGGGTCAAATGCGTTCACATTTAATGTCATAAATAAATAAAATACAAAAATATAAAACTAAAAATACATAAATACATAAATACATAAATTTTGGAAAAAACATTCAATCACATGTATAATATTACATAATTATTATATTAAACAAAAAGTAAGTGTGACATTAGAATTATTTTTATACACAAAAATACAAAAAATTATAGAAAAATTGAACACATATAATTCTATACTTRCACTATTATTAAAAATATGAGTAAGGTTATGAAACTTTCTTTTGACTAAAACATTCATTTTTTGAATTTAATCTCTATTTAATTGTGAGGTTTAAATTGTAAATTGAACTATTACTTTTCATTTCATTCAATTCCCTTTATTTAAATCTTACATTTATTTGATAAATGAACCAAGAAAAAGATGCACCAACAAGATAAAATATTACAAAAGGAATAATCTAGGCAAGAAGCTAGGCCTTCTAATGATACTTGAAACTTCACAACTCGATCCAATTATCACATATTTAGATGAGGTGTTTATGTAATCAGATTTGGATTTTACAATCTGCATCCGATTAATAATACAAAATAAAAAATATAAAGACAAAAAAATACATATTTATAGAAATTTTTAGATACACTATTACTATCATTACCATCATTTAGAATTGCCACATGCAAAGTATGTGAAAATACACTTCATAAAATGTGAATTGATAACAAAGTACATAGAATTTAACATAACTTGTTAAAATCTGGATTTACTGTTCAACCAATATTAGTGAATTCTTTGTAGTTGAACTCCTTTAGGCTCACTTTGGAAGGAGTACAAATACAAATATGTAGAGTACAAAGCCTTGTATTTTATATTATTTTGTTTGTATTTGTACTATACTTATTTGTATTTGCATTCCTTCCAAACTGAGCCTTAAGCTGTATTTGGTTGTAGTGCAAATAAATTTGCACTGATGCAAAACCATGACAGATTGATACTGCAAATGATTTGAGTGTACATTCTGACCTATTTCTATTTCAAATTTTAGCTTATTTTGTTTGATTACAGTACAAATAAAGTAAATTAAGACATGGTACCAAAATATAGTAAAACCCAAAATAAAATTAAATAAGAATTTACATTTTTTTTTATTTGCACTCCCATGCATTTGTATTAATACAAATAAAATTGCACTGCAATCAAACACAGCCTTAATGTTTTTGTTTAAGCGAATAAAATGGTTGAACCAAATGGTCAGACCATTCTATTTGCAACTCAGTGACCAGAATGGCTTTTTATCTGGTTCAAATCTAATTACATTACCAATATATAAAAATTGAAAATTTCTTATAGAGAAACCCTAAAATCCATGGGCTTCTGGCTTTGTGAGGTGGGCCCACATGGATGACTCAGCCAAAAAGATGGTTTTCTGGTGAAGTTTGTTTTTGTAACTTCAAAGCCGCTCAATGAAAGCAACTCCATCGAAGCAACACTGATTTTATAAACTCAATTTTTCTTTGGGTAGACATGGTCCCGACACAATTATTAATCGGACTATTAGGTCTAGGGATGCAACGCTGATTGGCCCAAATTAGCATTTTACACTATTTTGGGCTGGGTCTGTTCAAATTTTAAAAGCCTAACTCAAACCAGTGCAAATTGCAACTCTGACACTTAAAACTTTGAGGGTCCGTTTTGTTTATAGTCGGAATCGAAATCAAAATCTTTTAGAATTGGAATCGAAATGATTCATTCTCATAATCTGTTTGGTTCAAATAGAAATGAGAATGAGAATTGAAATCAGTAGGAATAAGATTTCATTCCCAAGGGAGGGGGAGGGAATGGCCATTCCCTCAAATAGGGGAATGCCATTCCAACAGGAATGGGAATGGGATTCCGATTCCGTCCAACCAAACAATTAGAATCAGAATAATCCGTTCCAATTCCGATTCCACACCTCTATTCCTGTAAACCAAACGGGGCCTGAAATTGTTACTTTTACAATAAAGATATCAAAGCCTATTAAATTAACAAATTCAGTGACATTTAAAAAAAAATATAATAGTTAAATTAGTGAGTGGGAAGAACCCACTCTTTTTGACAAGGTGGGATGAGATTCTTATTCCCAAAGGGAGGGGTTGGAATGATCATAGAATTCCATTGTGCTAAGAATGGAAATTGAAATCCATTCCACCCAATTAAATAGCTGGAATTGGAATGTGCCATTGTGGTTCCAATTCCAAACCCCTGTTCCCGATCGACCCTTAAATCTTCACAAGATGGAAGATCAATTATTGTTATGTTTTCTAAGAAGATTGATTATGGAGAAGTTGAAGATGGTTGCCCTCCAATGCAATTAAAACTTTGTCGATTGTAGTAGAGGGCTCGATGTGTCAATTGAGAAAATCATGCTTTCTAATCTATACTCTACAACATGGTTTTAAAAAACGACTCAGAAATGGAACCGTTCTAGTCATCAGTTTCTGGGTTGATGGTCTGACCGTTTGGTTTGAACGGACGGCCTATTCTAACAAAAAATTAAAAAAATAAAAATAATTAAAAATAAAAAAACAGCCAAAAATCGTTAAACGAGTCGATAATTTAACTGTTTGGATCAACGAGTTGTTGACTTTTTCAACGGTTTTTGGCCAAAGATCAGGTTTAGGGTAAAATGGAACTGATTGCCTAGACAGTTCCTAGGCCAAATAGTTCAACTGTTCGGGTCAACAGCAGATCAAAAACCATGCTCTACAAGCATAAAGGGAAGTTCCATTTTATAATAATATAAAAAATGTAATACCTTTTTTTTGAGAGAAACAATCCAAAGCAATTTCAATTAACTGGGGAAATCAGATACAATAAGATCATGAATGAAGGTTGGAGGAGAAGAAGACCAAGCTCTAGTGATTTGGATAGGACAAGAAAATTTCACTAATCTATGTGCAATTGAGTTTGTTTGGCGAGGAGAATACTGTAAAGGTGAACTAGAAAAAAGATGAGGCCAGACTTCTGCAATCGCCAATAATATGGCGGGCCATGGTGGTGTTGGTGGTGTTAGGGAATCCTCCAATAAGGATGTTAACGGGTCAGGTTTGGCACGGGTTTATCTAAAACCCAACTTGACCTGACCTCTCTTAAAATGCATATTTTCTGAAACCGGACTGACCTTATAGGGTTTAATCCAATACCAACCCAATTCGACCCATAGCATTTCAACTGTACTTTTTTAACACATTTTGAAGATCTAAAATCCATTAATTTAAGTTATAAAAATTGTTTTATAGATTCTAAGGTGTCGTCTTTCCCATTAAAAAAAGACAACCATAATTAACATGTAAATGAATATTAAGCTTCAAGGCTATAGAATTATAAGTCAAAAGTTACAAAAATACTTTATATATATGCAGCGTATCATGAACCGATGGGGGTGGATCAGCCAAAACTCAAATCTGATATGAACCCAACTTGGATTGAATAATCAAAACCCTGACCCGACCCTAAAGCCGAATATGTCTGACCCTAACAAACTGGGTTTACCATTTAACCCGATCCATTAACATCTCTACCCTCCAACAGAAGCTTCATTGAAGACAAACAATCATTTTCTACTTGGAGAGGGAAACTAATGGAAAGGCCAGCTTCAGGGGGTGCACATAGCAAGACGAACCAATCGAGTGCTCACTACATGGGGTGAGCACTAGTGAGACAATTGTCCTCGGTCCACACTACATGGGGTTGGAGAAGCTTGATTAAAGGGCGTGATCTTCTTAGTAAAGGGCTATTTTGGCAAGTTGGTACTAGGGAGACTATAAAAGTTTGGCAGGAACCTTGGCTCCCTACCCTTCCTGTGTTTAGAATTCCCATGGTTGACCGGTTGATCCAGGAACCGGTCAGACAATTGGTTTTGTTTCACTTTAAAATCTCTCTTAGGCAAAAAATCGTTGATTTGGTCAGAAACTCATTGACTTGGATTATGGGTTTTGACTATTTTTTATTTTTTATTTTTTTTAATCAGAATGGTTTGTCCATTCACCAAATGGTCGAACTGTTCAATCAAGGAATCAGTCCCCAAAATGGCTTCGTGTCCGATCTGGTTTTTAAAACCTTTATGATTAATGGAAACTTTCTCTTTATTGGTACAAAAAAAGAAAAAAGAAAACCTTTTATAAAACAAATAAACCCTCTCCACATTATAAYTTTGTTTAGAAAAGGGGTGGACTGCATGTGATATGAATTTTTAGGGGTACTTTTTGGATAAAAAACCTTGGATTCATGCCCTTTCACATTTTCCACTCATTTTAWAATATTAAGTTGAATTAGATGGTAGTTTTAATCAAGGTTTTTAAACCGACCCGGAGAATGAATTGGTCAGGGGTTGGGTTCCCAGGTCGAACGGTTTGACCATTCGAACTGAACGGTCAGCCTGTTTTGACAAAAAAAATTTAAAAAATAAAAAATAGTCAAAACCATTCAAACGGTTAACTGCCTGGGCCAGCGGTTTACTGACCAAATCCAACGGTTTTTGGAGAAAATCCAGTTTTGGGGAAAAATGGAACCAGTCACCTGACGGGTTCCGGTTTTTCCAGTCCGACTGTCCGGTCTAGTCCGGTTTTGAAAACCATGCTCGGAACATCACAAGTTGCACTCTGATAGTCCTCTCAAATGGGCACTAGCTTCATTGAAAAGTTGATTTATTAGCTCAGTTAAAACACACTTTTGGCTTTCTAAATTTTCCACCCAACAATAACTTCTAGGGTTTATGTGTGGGGTTCAGCTTGCAAAGCCAGAAACCTCTSCATGAAAGCCTTAGTGCCCGTCTGGAAGGACTTTCACAGAGCCGCTTTTGGCTTCGCAAGATGGGCCCCACACAGAGCCTAGAATCTATGTTTGGTAAAAAAAATCTGAAAAGGCAAAAGTATGAAAATTTGACTTTCTGATATGACTATATTTGGTGGTTTCTCCGAAGTGGCGTAGTCAATGCTGAAGCCCAAACGGACCCTTAGTCAATGACGTGGGTGTTGGCTCGTTACTACTAGGAAGGATCCGAGCAGTTGTGATTTGTGAATGTCGTAAGCTCTTCTCAGATCTCAAACATCTAAAAGAAGGTGACGTGGCTTTGTTATCCACCGTCAGAATGGAGGGAAATAACATAACGTATTTCCCCGGTTGAGTTGAGATGAAACAGAGGATGAGGAACTGGTCCAATACAAAAGAAGAAATAAAACAAACAAGCATTGACCAGCAGGGAAGAGTCTATCATTACGTGATTTTTTCCTGTAAGTTTCCTGCTTCAAATCCAAAGTCTCCCATCTTTATCTTGCAAGGTCTTGATTCTGATCAACAAGACAACATTTTATTCATATTCACATCTGCTTGGTGCATTCTTTCTACGTAGAAATCTAGCCAACAGCTGCCCATTCATTCATTCAACAGAGAAGAAGAAAAAGAGAAGCAAAGCAAGAGAGAGAGAGAGTTTAATTGGGTAAGGATAGGTGAGAGTGTGTGTGGGTGTGTTTAATAAGAGAAGAGAAGAGTCAGAGCTTGAATGTCCGAGATCATATTTTTCTTGAGCTTCCTGAGGTGGTGCCTGAGCTTGTAGGCTGTAGCCGGGTCAGGAGCTTCTGGAATGCCACTGGCTAGACCATTTACTGCTAACAATGGTAAATCTAAAATCTCTCTCTCTCTCTCTCTCTCTCTCTGTTTTCTTTGATCATTTCTCATCTCTTATGAAAGATTTCGAACTTGGGTTTATAGCAGAATTCTTGTTTCTGATTAATTTTTTTCTCTTGGTTTAATATTGCTCCCTATTTTTTTTTTATCTCTTGGCTTCATTTGTAGTGTTAAGGAAAATGGATCTTTTCTCTCATCCCCTGAATCCCGAGGAGTGCGCAAAGATGAGACTGCTAAAGGAACTGCAAAGCATGAAGACAGAACCGCTGGATCATTGCAGTTGTGGGCCTGTGGAAGATGACATCTTTGAGTGGCAGGGAATGATACAAGGGCCAATGTATACCCCATTTGAGGGAGGCCTCTTTTTTCTGTCTATCAGCATCCCTGAGAATTATCCCTATAGCCCTCCTCAGATCAAATTTAAAACTAAGGCAAGCATTTCTTTTCTTTTGCATTCTTTTTTAACCGTATATCTTTGGTCTGAAGTTCACCAGTCACATGCTWAGTAGAGTTTGAGGACTGAAATGTGCCAAATTCTAAAGCAAGCTCTTTGTTCTTTTTTCACCAAGCACTCTACCTTTAAGAGCAGAGTGCTGTACATTTGGTGGCCTTTTGCTGGTGGGATGATAAAATTGAGAACAGAGAAATACAGTAATTCTAGAATTCAATCTAGAAAATGATGGAATGGGATGGTCCATAGAAGAAACACATAATTCAATATTATAAATTTGGCACCAGTGGCAAGAGGTCACTACTGAAAACATAGTTGCTAATTCATTTACCAGATTGATTTTGTCTTGGTAATGACTTATCAAATATTAAATAATAGAGAAGTTGGAAAAAGAATGATTTTCATAAATGCCAACTCATTACTTGAGTTATTGTGGATGAACAGTAGGACCTTATCTCATTTTTGCTTAACTGTTTCCTGGAAGAACTATGCTATTCTTTTAATATCATAATGGATGTCCTTTTTCTCCATTACTTAATTTTTTGGACACATTAATTTGTTAATTATATAGTCTAATTTCTACTTACTGTTTATGCAGTATTGACACAAACTGAAAAGAATATGTCAAACATAAACTTGGGGACTTTGCCCCTCTATTAATTGGATTATCCAAAAGTAGTCTCTGTTTTTACTGCAGTTCTTAAACCACAGTTTTATAATATTATTACTACCATTATTAATAGACTTTGCATATGTAACATCAGAATGGAAAAGTCATACAAAATTCATTTTCGATCTGGATTTAGTGTAAGGTTTAGCACATGATTCTGCTGCAACAAGCAGTTGCTGCAAACATACTTTTGGCTCAGTTTGTTTCCAGTGCCAATTTTATTTGCACTTGCAAAGTTTGTTTACAATGCGAATTTCTTTAGGCTGCCTTTGTTTGTAGTGCAAATGCCAAGTCGATAGATATTTGTACTCTGGTTCATTTTGCAAGCATTTGGTAACAAAATATTTGTGTACTGAAAATGATAGCTATCACAACTTCCAAAACATGTTTGCATTCAAAATGAGGGCAATGGTTACAAACTTTGCACTCAAAGTTGGTCAATGTAGAAAAGGTGGATTCCAGTCTTGGAATTCATGTTTGTACTCATTACAAAAAAAAAAAAAAAACATTTGGCAAGAGTACAAAATTTATCAATGTGAACCAGCATATTTGTTTTTGCATTGCAAATAAATTCAGCTGGTGTAAATGCATGGAAGTGCAAATAGGCTGAGTGTAGATTCTGGTTTACCTTTGCTTCATATTTGACTGTCTTATTTTCATGTGAGAACCAAAATAGGAAATAAAATGAAAAGATAATAGAAATAGGAGGGTTATTTGTTTGTTTGGAAGGAACTAGGAAGCAAGATGATGTGGTCTACAGGAAAGTCGTGCAAATTTTGTATCAGTTTTTGGGATGCAAAATTTGCACTGCTAATGAGTGCAAACAAGACACGAAATGCAAAATTTTGTATCAGGTAGGACTGTAGGAGTGCAAATCATAGTTACAAACACAACGATGCAAAACTGAACTGGGTGTAAAATATGAATCTGATTCAGCTTTGCACTGCAAGTGCAAACAAACAGAGCCTTTGTAATTAATTTCCCTGAATAGTTCTTCAGTTTGGCCATATGGGGTCGACATCTTGGATCACCTATTTATTTTAAGCATGTCATTTCCAATGCTTTGGGAAACTTTCATCCTAAATGTGTTTCTCCTGTTTTCTAAATTAACATCTTTTATTGAAGAAAGCATGTTACAAAAGTTTCCTGTGGCATTATCAAAAACAAACTCTGAAGACTATCGAGATTGATATTTCAATGCTGTATGAATTGTAGGTTTTCCATCCAAATATTGATGAACATGGCACCATCCATGTTGACATACTCTGGGATCAGTGGACTCCTGCCTTTACTATTCAAGGGCTGCTATTTTCAATATGGTCACTTCTTCTTGAACCAGTTGAAGTTGATGAATTTGACGACCATCCAATTGCTCTTCTTTACAGAGATGATAGGGCAACATATGAAAAGAAAGCAAAGGAATGGACACGGGAGTATGCAATGAGCTACTAAATTACTTCCCCTGTTCCAACATTTCTTAGTAGGAACTTTCATTACTTCCCCTGCTCCAACATTTCGTAGTAGGAACTTTCACCTGCAGATACTACATTCAAATGCCATGTAGAGATTGCAAGATACAGGCGTGCAGGACTCTCTTTCCAATCACAGACAAATACATATGATATGCATACATGTGTACAATGAAAAGACCAAAATAGAAAAATGATGAGTTTTCTAGAGTGATGGTTTTGTTTTAGATTCTACTTCTTGGGCTTGTATTTATTATTGAGTTACATTTTCAGTGAATTTAATTACATTCTCCATGAATTCATTTTGATGGCTATTTAAGCCAAGAATCTAACTATTGATGAACTCAAAATTATGGTCACTTGGCAAGATTGTCTAAACATAATTGCTGAACAGACCAATTATAAGAGCTACCTCCTTGCCCCCTTGGAGGGCAGGGGTTGATTGGGTAACCTGGATAGCTACCCCTATTAAGATGGGTTTGCTATGCTCCTAATTGGGTTAAGGCTGGGTTGAAGTTGTAGAATGACAGTTAATGGGCTTTGGGTTATGATGCATTTTACTTGATAACTTCCATTCCATGTAGATATCAAGTTAAAGTATTTTTATCATTTTCCCTTGTCATTCTTTTTTGCTCATTCTCTTGTTAACAAATGATCTCACCCCGCCTTCTTCCCCCCCACCCTAGCCCGCTCTATACATGGTGTGGATTGGCTTGAGATTGAGGTAGTTCATGCCTTGGGTAAAGTCCAAGCTGCAGTAGCCTTACCAGCTTACATCCCTAGTTGCTTTTTTAGAACTAATATGAACCCACAAAAGGCTAACTGTTGAAAGCCAACATCAAAGTGGATTTGTCAATTTAAAAGAGCAAACTAATTAGGTGGAACAGGTATGCAACAATCCTTGCAAATTTATAGTCACATCAAAATGATAGTTGAGGGACCATTACAAGAACAAATATATTTCTAAACAACTGCAGGGAGCTGCAAAACTAAAAGAGAATATCATCCTGCTTGGTCCTAATGATTTTACAATGTTTCATGTAACATAGGTTAATAAGCTATCTAACATTTACAGTGGATACTTACCATCCAATCATTGCTTAAATGGTAACTAAAAGCAGAAGCTGAAATAATATATGTTTTTTGCTCAGGCCTCATGATCAATAATTTTAGCAGATGGTTGTGGTTTCTGATCATGAGACCTGAGCAAAAGAACATCCTGATGTACACACTAAGGGCCTCGAGTGGCCTGGATCAAAACAGAATCAATAAATGGTGATTAAAACTCGATAAAGAGCAGCATCTAATGGGTTCACCAAACATTGGATCTCTGCAACATTAGCAATGATGCTCTGGAAGGGTATATTGAATAATTGAACTTAAGGGAGTGGTGAAGTTGATGCTGCAGAATTAATGAATAAACTGTATATTCCAAAAATCCATGTGACTAAGTGTCTGCAGTTCAACAGTGACTGGACAACTCAAAGAATTCCCCAACTGACAGGCGTTAGAGAGAATATATATATTGAAGTCTAGCCTGGAATGCAAAATAATCAACTTCATGGACAAGAACTTTTAATTCAAATTAAATCATGCATGTTGGTTTCAAAGGCTTTCACCAGACTAAAAGGGAATCTCTTTGGGATTAGGCAATGGCTTTTTTACCTAGTCCAGCCATGTAAGGTGTGAGAGAAGCACATGAAACAACCATGGTCCAAGCCAGACTAGCCCCTCTCATGCAGATGAAAATGCAACCAAATGGGTAAAAACTTAACGTACAGCATGTCAGCCGTTATAACCTATTTAGGGTGAAGTTATTTGGTGATTATTTATCTCGGAATATTACTTGGAGAAAGGGAACAATGCATGCATAGAGATGGACACAATCCACATAGAAGTGAAATCTGCTTTGAGTCCTGTGGAAACAATATAGCCAAACCAAAACCATATTGGTGGCAAATCCTACAGACATAATCTAAAGGAACCAAATCTCTTGCTATTCCTATAGAAATCTATTAAAACCACCTTGACTCATTGACCTTCAGGTAGAGGCAATGAAGAACTAAAGAAAATAAAATAAAAATCTAAAAGATCAAATGATCACAACTAGAACCTACTTAAAAGAACTTCTACATCGGTTACCTGGTTTCTCAATTTACCTGGCTCTAAACTTTGTAGGTTGTAACCTTTTGAATGGGCCTGGTTAATTAGGGATAATCTTCTAAAACTTTTTTTTGTTTCTTATGTTCATGAAGCTAAGTTCCCAAAATTGTACAAAACTAAGATGTACAAATTTCTTTCTTTTCTTTTTCAGTTGTACAGAATATCTACTTGCTACCTTATAGGTCCAATTTATAGGGTTGGTCTCTGGGTCCTCTCATGACTCCGCCTGGGGGATCCTTGGAGGCTTTAAGTCACACTAATAATATTCCCCTTTTCCTTTTACTTCCTCTTTTGTTCCAATTTTTCTTTGCATTGTTGACTTTCTTCCATCCTACCCAGTTCTTGGAAAACAAAATGAGACAACCTAATATTTTAGACAAATTTCTTCATAGGTCCCATATCAACTAACTTTCTTGCTGATGCTTTGGTCAAGGTTTGGATTGAATGGAGTGACCTTTATCTGTGTGCTGCTCTTCCTCATTAGAGAGTAAGGTTCTCTCTATTCTACTTCTGTTGATCTGTTTGTTATGTTATGATGCCGCGCTAGCCTTTCTGCAAGTCTTTTTCACACTGTCTAGCTCTATTCCTGCTATGGGCTTCACAATTGTTTAATGATTTTGTGCAACAACAACAACAACCCTTTTCTATTACTTCTGATTTTCTTCCAACTTTTCTTTGCATTRCATTTGGCTTTCCTTCACTTTCCTACCAAATGTAAACATAAGATAGGATCTGAGTTCATGGAAAACATGAGCCAACCATACACTTTATATATGAAGTTCTTCACAGGATTGAAAGGAGACAAAGAATGGAGGATATAGATCCTAGTTTTATGGAATTTGTATTTTCTGTATTTGTTAGAGTCAACTATACAGGGGTAGTTTTGTCTTTTCAGTATATTATTAGTGTGATGTAATGTCTATTATGTTCACGTTTAACTTATATGTCCCATACTTAATTAGGGGCATAATTGTCTTTATGTACTTAATCAGAAACATATAAATACAATCTGGCCGACTAGAGAAAGAACATATTCTCTAGATCGAACCAGTTTTCCCCTCCTTTTCTTTCTCTCCTCTCTCTTTCTTCTGTCTTTATTCTCTACTAATCTAGGGCTGAAACCAGTACAGATTTGTTCTGTAACATGGTACCAGAGCCACTATAAACAGTTCAGGTTAACCCAGAATTTCCTGGTTCGTCTTTTTGTCCTAGATCTCTGCAGAGATCTCATCGATCCCTTGGAGTTTCACAGAAAGGCTGAAAAGGAGTTTTCGTTTTTCCCTTTTGGAGGTCTTCATGCCTCCAGTTGGTTGTGCGGTGCTCGTTTCATGTGGTTTGTAGAAACCCTCTAATCGATGGATCGAAGAGGGCTGTTTCAGGTGGTGTGGTGATCAGATCAGTGCTGGACTGATTTGTGAAGTTCAAACAAGTAGGTTAATGGGTGATACAGTGTGAGATAGGTAGTAATCAGTTTCAGGTCTGGTAGTATGTGTTTTGGTGCATTTGGGTATCTTCTATGGTGCTGAAACAGCAGGGCTGTAGTGACAGTTAGGGTTAAGAAAGAAAAAAAAAACATGTGTAGTGTGGTGGTTAGCAAGTGAAGTGGTGTGAAGTACTAGTGGGTGGAGTTTTTTTCTTTTTCTTTAAGGCAGAAGAGGGAGACAATAGTGGACATAAATCTAGTGTTATGATTCCCCTTGATTATCTTTGTGTGCAGAGATTACCTCTATTAAGTTGAATGGTGAGAATTATGTACCTTGGGCTAAGCCTGTAGAAGTCTTTCTTAGGGCTAAGAAGAATGTGAAGCATGTGAAAAAGGAGAAACCCTCAACCGATTCTCAAGGTTACACTGAGTGGGAACAAGAAAATGCACAAATTATGACATAGTTGTTGAATAATATGGAATTGAAGGTTAGTGTGAATTTTATGTTCTTAGATACAATATAGGAGATTTGGGACCATGAAAAGAAGTCGTACTCTGGACAAGACAACACTACCAGAGTATATCAGCTTTAGCAGGAGTATTTTAATTTGCAACAAGGCAATCAAAGTCTTGAGGAGTATTATGCTAGTACAAAAAATCTTCGGAATGAATTGAATGTTTATCATCCCCTTACATTTGATGTCAAAGTTCAGCAACAACAGGGGGAATAACTTGATGTAACCAGATTTCTAGTAGGGTTGAAGGCTGAATATGAACTGGTGAGAGCACAGATACTAGGTGAATTTGCTCTTCCCTCTCTGGAGGAAGTGTTTGCTTTGTCTCTGGAGGATTTTTGTTGGACCTCCATAGCATTCGACTATGACTGGTAGATCTTGCCTTTGCAGCAACTAGAGGTGGAGGTCGTGGTGGTAGAGGAGGAGCTCAAGGAAGTCAGCCAGGTCATGGTGGTAGTAATGGTCCCATGTTCAACTGTGGTGGTGGGCATTTTGGAGGTCGAAACTCAGGGGGAGCATGTGGTAATAGTGTGAGGAGGTGTACACACTGTGGTATGGAGGGGCATACTATCAATTTTTGTTATGATTTAAATGGGCCACCCTCTACTTGGGCCAATCATGCGGTGGCTAGTGGTGGTACGAGAGATGAAATTCAACAAAGTGATCTGACACCTTCTAGAAAATATTTTCACCTAGATTTGATGGAAAAGAAAATAAGCCTTGCTGATATTATTTTATCATTCCAACATTTACAATAACAAGAAAAATCAATGAATTCATTTGTTAATCATAAAACATGGGAATATGGTTTGGATGACCAAAATAATGTTTCTTGAAGCCAAGCTCATCCAACTGGGACTAAGTATCCTCTTTTCTGATGACTGCATCCTGAAGCTCCTTTACACGGCTAGTGATTCCACTTCTTGAATAAGCTTTGATCATGGTGCTATATGTGATCTTATCAGGCTTACATCCTCTTCTCTCCATCATCTCCAGCACCTCTCTCATCTCTGACAAACATCCCATCCTCCCATATGCATCAATTAGGCAATTGAAGAACACAATATCTAACATCACATCTGAGTTCTCAATGAACCTTAAGACACCCCCGATTTTATCTACAGCTCCTGCTCGCCCATAAGCCCTGACAAGGGAGCAGAGTGTGACACAATTGGGTTTGATCCTCTCTGATCTCATCAGCCTGAACAAGTACTCCATCTGCTTCAGGTCACCAGCCCTTCCAAATGCATCTATTACCACATTATAGGTCACAACTGTCCACGAATAGTAGTACTTCTGCATATACTCCATGACAGCACCCATCTTTTCATAACTCTTAGCCTTTCCATAGGAATCTAGAAGTATATTGAAGGTCTTGATGTTAGGATTGACCCCAGCACTCTTAAACTTCTCATAGCACTTCTCCATTGTTTCAATTTGCCCACTGCTGCCAAAGGCTCTAATTGTGGAGTTCATGGTCCAGACATCAGGCTGACAGTCCTGTTGGTTGAGCATTTCCATGAGTGTTGATTCCATCTCCTCAAACCTTTTAAAAAATGTTTAAATAAATTAGACTAAATTCTCTTCATGTCCAAAGAAACATTAAAATATTCAAATATGCATGGAAAATTGAAAGAGGCTGGATACCTGCCCGCTTTCCCATAGGCATCAATGAGGGTGTTATATGTGATTGTGTTGGGTTTGATTCCCTGGATTGCCATGTCTAAGAGCAGAGACTGAACTCTGTCAAAGTCAAAGACATGAAGGCATGACTTTATAAGGATAGAATAAGTATAGACATCAGGTTCACAGCCAGGTGTATTCTTCATCCGGTTGAGGAGGGAAAAAGCTTGGTCAAAGAGGCCACTCCTACCATAAGCAGAGACAAGAGCAGTATAGGATTCATGATTCACAATGCATCCTTCATCAATCATATTTTGAAAGAGAGCATGGGCCCTCTCTGGCTGTTTGCATTTTCCAAGCATGACAATGAGCTTGATATATATACCAGAATTAGGTCTGTACCAAAGCTGCTCCCGTAATAGTTCAAATACCTAAAATGCAAAAGTCTTGTTAATAGCTAGTATATTTACATCAGTATTTGATGAAAAAAAATGGAAATGTGCCAGACTATTACTATCCTTATCCCTTTGGGACAATCAAGGTTCAAAACCTTGTATAAAAACCAAAAAGGCTATATCTTGGGTCTCTAGACATGGGAGACAGGACATGTGAATGGGTCTCAAGGTAGGGGTGTAATCGAGCCGAGCCGAGCTGAGCTGAACTTTGGCATGTCTTGGCTCGGCTTGACTAAAATACTACTAGGTTTGAGTTCAAGCTCGAGTTTGTCTCGAACTATATTTTCCAGCTCAAGTTTGGTTCGATTAAATATTCAATGAGCTCGAGTTCAGCTCAAAAATAATATATTTTTATATTATATATGACATTTTTTATAATATATAGTATATTCTTATTCTCTTATATTATATAGAATATAAAATATATTATAAAATATATATTTTTATATTCTATAATATATACATACGTATATATGTATGTACGCATGTGTTAATTGAGCCAAACTCGTAAGCTTTTGAGCCAAACATTTTATTGGTTGAGCTTGAGCTCAAATAATTAATTGAGCTTACCCCAAGGTTCGAACTCGATTTGAGCTCGATTAGAATCAAACTTGAATCAAGCCTAATTGAATTTGAGCCTGAACTATTCGATTAGAGCTTGATTGGATTGCAGTCATAGTCTCAGGCATGCATCACTTGTCACCTTCCCATGTTTCAAGCATTGAGAACCACCATTTATTGGTCCTTGTACCTAATAATCAGCTGGCAGGCCAAAAAAAGAACATGCCCTGAACCTTATAACCATCTGACTTTCCACATTTAATTGTATTATAAAAAAGAGTTATTCAGATTAATAGGGCTTTGTAGTGTTTTAATTGGTATCCATTCAATGGTAGGGCCTGATTCTTGAAACAAGGGCCAGGTGGCAAATTATGAGACCCCAAATCCATCCATTGGTCCGGTGTTCCCATATACTAGATTCTCACAACCAACATTCCGCAAATTCTACAGGTTTTACCATATAGAACATACAAAAATAGCACAAGTAAAACCTCCCAAGGTGCAATCAATTTAAAAGATGAAAAATATTAAATGATTGTCATGATTGTTTTAATGAAAGTTGTGATTCAAAATGTTAAACAAACAGTAACAAATTACCACAATTGTTTCTGCAGGTTTTATATGTAACACAAGCAGTGAGGGTGTACAATAATATTAAGACATGGTAGTGACAGTATCATATCTATACACATTTTCTTTGTACTGTATTTTCTAGTCAGTCCCTCTAAGTGACCTCTTTGTAATTGTAAATAATTTATTCAGTGAGTATATTATGACCTTCTGGATTGGAGGTCAATCACAAAAACTAACATACATTATTTCCTCTTGTCTTGACTTAGGACTTCAAATAGAACAGAACAGTTAAGAGCTAGATCAAGCATTCTTCCATGGTATCAGAGCAAGTCAAGATCACAATATTTCAAGGATAAAAGGGTGAGTTATATTCACATTGGTTTGTCCTGTCTAGATCTGATTTATTGCAATCAAGTGATGGCTGTTTTGGAGGTTAAAGAAAACCAAATTATTGAGTAGTAGTAATTAATTGGGAGTTCGGAACTGGATTGGTTGGAATTTTGATTCCAACAAATAGGATAAATTATTGCAAAATGTTCTGGAATTTTTTATTGTTTTCTGGTTGGGCTTTAGTGGTGTTTCAATCACTCCACCAAGAATTCTGGATTGAGGTTTTTTGCTTTTTTTCAACATATTAGATACTACATTATGTTTCTCATGATATAGCAGATTGTTCCAGCTCAGATTGCTAAATTTTAGGTTGCCGACCTGTTGAAATTCCTAAGTACTTTCGAAATTCAAGATATGTTATCTCTTTGGATCAGCCCTTCTTAACACCTCTAGAAGGGGGCATGAAAATACTTATTTGCAACACTTAGAACTGTATTTTTCTGAGAATTTATCAGTTTATTCTCATAATCTAGAGTATTGATAGCTGTCTAGTTGACTCATTGGATTCTAATAGCTACTGAAAAACCAGAAATACTTTCTGTATAATTTGATGGGTCTATTTATGCTATTTGGAAGTTTTATTTCCAATCTTATTGAAAGTGAAAGGTTTATGGGTTTTATGTCTAATAATTGCTTGTTGTATTCTCTTCGTTTTTAAGCCTTAATAAAATTCTTTGAGTTACTGATCAAAAAAAAGGGAAAGGTTTATGGGGATACATTGATGGATATGAAAAATCAAACCATCTGAAAATGATCTATAATCTTTAGTCTTTTAAAAAATAGAAAATTAATAATGCAAAAATTGTTTCTTGGATTCTTAGCTCCATTGATAAGTATAGGTCTTCCTACGGCTATAAGGGGGTTTCATACAACCAAGGGTACCCCAGTTCTTGCAGTTCTACCAGTGTAGAGGAGATTTTCTTCAAAGTTGATGGTTCCATTTACTTGGTTTATAGTGGGACAATAGGAGATGCTGCTCATATAGAAGCTGAAGTTAGCTCTCTGCTCATGGGTCTCTACACAACAAAGCATCTTAAAGTTTCACCACCAATAGTTGAGAGATATTCAAGGAATGCAATCTCATGGTTCCAAAGAGTGGGTAATGGGCCTTGAAACTGGCTATTGAAGACCATGTTTGATGGATTCCAAAAGAATTAAATTCTATATTTGACATTCCAGCCAAAACTGGTTTGAGTGCCTATTTTGCATAGTGAAAGAGTCATACCTGAATAACTTGATGGTTCACAATTTTGATATTGATGAACATTTCGCTATGTAGAGTTGGAGAAATTTCGGTGATATTTTGCTAATATTGCTAAGATATTTGGAAAACCTAAAAAAGTAGTAAGTTTCTAGAATAGAATTAGTTAATAAACCTTCAAGAGATCATTGGAAGAAATTTAATTGCACATTTAAGGCTCAAAATCATAACAAAGAACTATATAAATCAAATAGGAAAAATTAAGAGACTATAATAAGCATGTTCCTCTTTGTCTCCCTTTTGGTCTTTAGCCATCTTTTCTTATTATATATGCCATTTATTTGCCATTTTAATCTTTTTCTTTATTGTTATTATATGTTTTGATTAGATTGATAATACTTTTTTGTAGTTCTATGCATTTTTCTTGTTCTTTTAAATTATAGTGACTTGGTAAGTGAATCATATCAAAGTAGTAAGCCAATTATCTAATTACCAATTACTTGCTGTTTCTTTTAGGAAAATATCTTTTAAAAAATTATGATGGTTTTAATGAAATATTGAAATTTTTTTAATAATATTCTAAAATTTTAAACTTTAAATATATAGTCTATCAATGAAATCTAAAATAACACTGGCATATTGGCAAAGTATCAAGGATATTTGAAAAAAATAAAATAAAAGAGGATTCTTGGAAGATTTAGTATCGCCACCTAACAAATGGAGGTATTGAGGGGATATATCGTCAAATATTGTCAATATTGTGAACCATGTTCGAGGCTAGGTTAGGTTCCTTATTGTTTATGTCTGTTTCTATGCACATCTTTTTTTGGTACATGTTTCTAAGTACATCCTCTCATGGATCTTGTTTGCTATGAATATAATGAAGTTACTCTTTCTAAAAAAAAAATTATTGGAAACATAAAATCAAGTTCATTAGAAAAAGAAACAAAAAGATCTGTGGATTATGACTAGCTCAAATCCAAGTTTGTGGTAATGTACCAATGGATCTTTGAGAGTTGTTGCTAACTCCAACTCAACTTAACTCAACAAAGCCATATCCAACCATATGGGGTCAGCTAATATGAACTCTATTTCCACACCATCTATCAAGAGCCATACCCGGGTGAACTTAAGTGTAAGTCCCCAAATTATTTACTATAACCTTAATCAATGTCCTTTTACGTCTGCCCCTAGTTCTTCTAGATCCTTCAGTTTGCATTATATCACTTCTTACTAGTGCAGCATATGATCTCTATGCAATGCCAACACCATCATAACCTATTATCCCTCATTTTAATATATTACAACCCAAACCTCGGTAGAACCAACGATACTTATTTGCTCCACCAACCCATCAATTGCAGCTCTTCTAAATCCATGTTATATTCAATCCTGCTACATGTAGTTGTCACACCCGAAATTCCATATTGAAACCTCAATCTGGAAAAACTAATCCTAGTCCTCTGAATCAAAAGCAATACCTCTAGAAAGCAGGTAAGTTGTCGTGTTCCACTAATCTAACACATATATTGATTTCAGAGAAATTTCATCAAAACGTGCACTCTGAAAAATGCAATATGTCCTCTAATTGAACTTCGGGGCTTCTATTTCTCACTAGAGAAGGACTCTTTATTTCTTCTTCAAAATTACGCTTTATATTACTGAAAGAGCTAACAGAGGCAGGCCCAGATGGAATTTAACCATGAAAAACCTCAAATAAGAATCGAACATGAAAAGAACCATACCAACCTTCAGAGCAGACTCCCAACGCAAAGCCTTGATCCTCTCATGAAGGGCTTCAAGAACAGTCCTAGGCAAAAGCTTCTTTGAATTGGTCCCCTTTTTCTTCTCGATAACTGCCTTTGTGGCCTCCCTCCGCAGTATCACCGATATTGCCTTCTTCGATGCAATCTTCCTGTTCACCTCCTCTTTTCTTTCCCGAGCTTCCCTCTCCTTCTCCTTGTTAATCTTAATTCGATTTTTCTCTACAAGTGTCAATGCATTTGTTGCATCTGCATTCCCAAAACCAGCAGTTGAAGAAGAAGAAGAAGAAGGAAAAACGCCTGATGATTCTTCTGCTGGTTTTGGTGTCGGAGGTGCGGGTAGAGATTTCGCTTTCGTTTCGGGGCGTCGACGATACGCCGACGAGATGGAAGTGCTGCCAAGGCACTGTGCGGTGGAAAGAGAAGCCATGTGAATGAAGAAACCGTAAAACAGATGCAGAAAGTTCCCTTCTGCCTTCTTATCTCCAATTCTCTGCAGATCGAGCCAACGACTCGACTGAATCAAGACTGAGAGACTATCAAGTATCAAGTGATCAACATCTTCACGCTTGTTTGGGTACATGGGCCAGCTGGCCCAGTAAATGTTTGAGTCCAGGTTACTTACTACCTTCGGGCCTAAATTGGGTCTAAAATGAGGCTTCTTATAAAGGTCCATCTTGCGCCAGGGAACGGCAGGCCAGAAGATAGGTATAGACTCTAGAGACCCAATAAACGGCGGGCCAGCTACCCAAGGTTTTAAAATCGAATCAGACAATGAACCGGTCAGGGTTCAGTTTTTGGGTCGAACAGTTCGATCATTCAAACCGAATGGATGGCCTATTCTGAYAAAAAAATAAAAAACAGCTAAAACTGGTGAACGGTTCAATCGTCCGGGTCAGTAGTTAGTAGTTTGTTGACCAAATCAACATTTTTTTGACAAAATAACGATATGGGGTAAAACGGAACCGGTCCTGATTTTTCTAATCCAACTATCTGGTCGGGTCCAGTTTTGAAAACCATGAGTCTGCCCAACACGTTTAAATTGATTTTGATTTGAATGGAATCCAACCCAAACCCAACTAACACCCATTCTACTGGTACCATGTCTTTCTGGTATCATAGATTTTTCCTTTCATCAAAACTCATGGATCATTAATCAGGTCATACATGCTAGCACTTAGAGTTTTTCAATTGAGATACTTTGCCCCTAATTAATTTAGAATGCAACTTGCTATCTATCATGCTCACAATCCTCTCTTATAATTTATAAATTAAGAAAGAAAATGAAATAAAATTGTAGGTATATGTTGTTCACCACGACTGCAAATAGCACAAAAGGTGCTAAACCAATGCTACAGGAAACACCCGCAACGAGTTCACAACTTGACACAAACTTGCGATGAGCTCAAAGCCTGCACAGACTTGCGATGAGCTCAAGGCCACCACAAACTTGTGATGAACTCAAAGCCATAGTACTGATGACGAACTCAAGGTCGCCACAAACCTACGATGAGCTCAGAGCCATTGTGAACTTGCGATGAGCTCAGAGCTATTGAGAACTTGCAATGAGCTCAGAGCTACTACGAACTTGCGATGAGCTTAGAGTTATCGTGAACTTGTGATGAGCCTAGAGCCGCCGCAAATCAACAACGAACGAAGAATATAATGACTAGTCGATGTCACTCGTGGCAGGATGCCCAGTAGGATTAAGAGAGACACATTAAAGACTAGCACGGGCATCATCCACGCCACGTCAGTATAGGAGACCCACGAAAGGAAGTAGCATACGTGTATTATGAGAATCTTCAGAATAAAGGAAACCCCGTCTTGGAGAGATCTCATAAGACACGTAACGAACCATTAGCAGTGTCCCCCTAACAAATGACACCGAATTGAAGATTCCCTTTTCAAGTGGGAATCAAATTCTTTTGGTTTCTTCCTTTCAGGACCTCGGGATCTCTCCCTATAAAAGGAGGCAGGAATCATAACGAACATACGACTCTGTCGATGGAAACCCTTAGCCTACCCTTTCTCCCAGCCTTCCTTCGTCCTTCAAGAAGACCACGGCACATAGCCTTACTATTGGACAGTTTTTGTATGCCCTTAGCTTCAATCAATTCTGATGTACTTTTGATATTTAATGTAAATAAATAAAATACATGTTTGATTCATGTTGTGTGGTATGTTTCTGTGTAAGACCCTAAAACTGGACACTTAATGAGACTTATGTTAGTTTTAAATGTTCACAGTCGTTAGATAAGTATGGAGAGATTTATCCTGCCAAGACTGACACTGGTGTGCTGCCAACTGTTGGGGTGGCTTGTCTCAGCTGCTAGGGTGAGACCCAAAGCACACGCAGTGTAGGATTACTTGAACCCTTGAACCGGACCAGATTTTCAATATTGCCCTGGACCTTGGAGACAGATGGGCAAAACTGGAAAGTTACACCTGACCCCTAGACCCGATTATGGTACTGCACTAGGTGTCGGATCAGACTATCTTTGATATGTTAATCA